GTCTCTGGATTTGTTCCGTTATATGTTTAAGATTTCCAAAGTCGGGGCCCGCGAAGGGAATTCGTACGCTGTCGTTTCTTCTCAGTCCGAGTGTGGAATGGCTGTCTTCCCCACATCCCTGAAACTTTGAAAAGCCAAGTTCGTCTTCGTTTCTGGCTTTCCCGGGAATCGGCACCCTTTCCAAGCCAGGTTTCCCGACTGTCACACGTTTATTCGTCATCCTCGGCCTGAGGCCACTCCCGAGCTTCTCGCACATGCGCAAAAACTGTTGGAAGACTGCCGGCCTAAACCACCCCAGGTACACGGTGTGTACGGAGCAGAACTTAGCGGAGGTGGGGATCCTTATCTCCCTCGAGCGTCAGTTCGAGCTATCCGAATCCGTACTTGGGAGTCGCCCGAAGCATGGGCTTGAGGAGAGCGCTCCGAGGTCGGAAGATCTGGAATCGGGGAACGAAGAAGAGGAGGATGACGAGGAGGTGGAAACCGACAAAGAGTCAGAACAGCCATCCTACTCCGAGGGGATTGCTGACGTGGGTCCTTCCGGAGGTCTGTCCTCCACTTAGGGTTCACTCCTTTTTTTTGTTTAATGCCGACTTAGAAGGGATGAGGTTTATATACAAGTTGTAGCTAGGGTTCCGACCGTTGGTCCGTAATCCAACGGTCTGGGCCCACTAAGATTGGGTTGTTCACCGGCGGCGTCCAACCACATAATTAACCCTAGGACTGCTATACAAAGTAGGCTACAGATAGGGTGGCTATAGCAACTCTGCCAGAGGTATGACAGGTGTCTATTCGTGGGCCCCTTGATCTTGACTTCAGTCAGCTTCCTTGTCTAGGTCCAGTCTGTCGCTGCCCAAGGCCGAGGCCGAGCGCATAACATTTCTTCGGAAGCCTCCGGACGGAAGGCCGGCCGGGGTGGTCCGAGGATGACCGACCCTGCCCAGGTCGAGTGCATGATATTGTCGAGGTGGTCTTCACTGGTCCTTTGCCTTGGTCCCGCCAAGTGGGCCTTGGCGTAGTTGGACTGGGCCGTCTTCCTGTTGGGCTGGATACCCCCATTCTCGGGTATCCATCATGAGTCCCCTACTTCCTCGGCCGAGCGTAGCGAAGCTGAGGGAAGTAATCCAAAAGTTAGGATTCTGAATTTTTGAGTTTCAAATTTTGAAAATCTTGGCCTGTGTAAGAGTCCCCCGCTGCCCAACTTGAGTACTGACGAGGGTTAGGGAGTGTTCCACCTGGCAAGATTTACACGTGTCCCCTCGATTCTGAAGAACATGATTGTACTGCTTGGGAGACGCAACGTCTCTGTACTGTCTCTTTGCCAGCCGTTCCTGACGACTCGTGATCGTACGCGTGAAGGAGTGCCACGTCTCTTCGTAATCGTCACTTTACTGAGTCGGGTCGGATCCTCTTAGCGTATAAAATGGAGAATTTTTCCCATCTTCTCCACTTTCGCCATTTTTGCGCCGCAGCTTTGCCGTCGATTTCATTCATCATCTCCGTTCACTTGCCGTCGCCGTCGCAGCCCAACCCGAAGGTTAGTCCATTCTTCCCCGCTCTCATGACGTCTTCTGATTCTACTTCCACCCCCGTTGTCGACCCAGCGACGGATTGCTTTGAGGAAATGTACCGTCAAAATCCCTCCCTCCGCCCCGACGGTCCGGTGGGAGGAATTGACCATTCTAGGGTTTTGAGCGCGTTGCCTCTGCGTACGTCAGTCACCGTGGCGTCGTCATCTCAAGCGGCGCCTCTGAAGAAGAAGAAATTGAAAATCGTTCAGGAGAGGACCCGCAAATCCTTGCCTGTCACCGCTTTGGATAAGGGTCTGATCACAAGTACGGGTTGTCTCCTGTTGGACGTTGACTTTGACGAGGCTCTCCGCTTCGTAGGAGACGGTTACGTGGTGCGCCGACCGCACACAACTAACCATGTGTTCTCGGTGACCTGTCGCGACGCCGAGGTCGGGGTGCACGTGGCGTCCATGCGCTACGGCCTTCGCTTCCCCCCTCACGATCTGATAATCCAATTTCTGAATTTCTACCGTCTTCTGCCGGGTCAGCTCAGTCCCCATTCCTACTACTATGTCTCGATCTTCCTGATTAAGTGTCACCAGAGGGGAGTCCCCTAGTCTCTGGATTTGTTCCGTTATATGTTTAAGATTTCCAAAGTCGGGGCCCGCGAAGGGAATTCGTACGCTGTCGTTTCTTCTCAGTCCGAGTGTGGAATGGCTGTCTTCCCCACATCCCTGAAACTTTGAAAAGCCAAGTTCGTCTTCGTTTCTGGCTTTCCCGGGAATCGGCACCCTTTCCAAGCCAGGTTTCCCGACTGTCACACGTTTATTCGTCATCCTCGGCCTGAGGCCACTCCCGAGCTTCTCGCACATGCGCAAAAACTGTTGGAAGACTGCCGGCCTAAACCACCCCA